ACTGCAGGAAAAGGGCAGGACAGTCACAGAGGAGCCACAGAGGCAAGTCTGGCATATGTCACTTTCTATAGTCCAGGGATGTCAGTGCCCTGTGTATCCCTGTGCCAAGTACCACAGCTGTGCACACTTTGATCATGCACAAGCAGGACAGCAAGCACCAGCATGGTCCTGCTCCACAGCAGCAGGAGGCAACACAGCCCAGACAGCAGTGCAGTCACCCCACCCACCTCCATGGATGTGTCTGTGCCCTCCCCAGCCCGGCTCACCTTCCTCATGATGGGATGGCACTGCTTCCCACACGTCTCAAAGAACACCTCCAGCACCTGCAGCACCTCATCCCATGCTGCATGGAAACGGTATGTCAGCCCTTCCTCCACTGATCTGGGGAGGATAAGGGAGATGGTTATGCTGGCAGTGATCATGGTGCATGCCAGACCACATCATGGATCAGGCAGAGGTGTCAGAGCTCAGCCAGGCCCATGGGGACAACCCATTCCACACCACCACTCTTCACCTGAACATCTTGCACAGGTAGGCAGCAGGGGTTGGGGCAGATGCAGAGACAGTGCCCAGGTCCTCCATGTGGGGAGCAATGCACTCACTCAATAGTGTCTGCAACGGCAAACAAAGAAAATGGGTCAGCTGTGAACCATGGAAACCCCAGACTGGCAGGCACAGAGGAGTATGCCACTCTCTGGCAAGCCCCAAACCCCTGGGCAGAGCTCTCACGGGGACCAGGGCAGCCAAGAGTGGAGAGACACCCATGTGCAGTACCTCCAGGGTCTGTGCTGCTGCTGACACCACCTGGGAGTGTGGTGAGAGGAAACAGTTCATGGCAGCAGAGAAGAGCCGTGGCAGGTGAGCCCAGCACAGGTCCTTCTGCAGCCTGGAAAGGAGAAACAGGGCAGGTGAGAGGCCAAGCAGCCACCTCTCCCCTGCCCAGCCATGGCACCTGCCCGCACCTGCCCAGGTTGATGTGCGCCTGCTCCATGGTGGACAGCCAGGTCAGCAGCGGCTGCAGGTCGCTTGTGCTGGGCACATAGTCATAGAGGGCCTGAGGAAGCAGAGGGTGGGGTGGGTGGGTGCTGTGGCACCACCAGCTCTGTCCCTCCCCCCACTGTTACCCCACACTCACGGTGATGATCTGGGCATTGAGCTCAGCTGGCAGGCAGGCCACGCTGGCCTGGGCGCTGAACAGACTGTGGAAGGCTTGCATGGCACAAGCTGTCACCAGCTGAAAAGGACACAGTGTCAGGAGAGGAGGCTCTGCTTTGCACCCACTGTCCCCCACCCCAAAGCAGGCTTTGCCCTGGGAAACCCAGCATTGCTGCAACTGTGCTGCATCTACACAGCCTCTCTCTTCCACAGCAGTCAAGTTAGCAAGCACCAGCTGCCCTGGGCTCCTTTGTGTTTGCATTGGGCATTTCCAGGCTACCAGCTGGCAGCCAAGGGAGTTTGATCCCTTCCAGAGCGCAGGCAATGGGGAAACGGTCTGCCCTTGCCATCCCTGGAGCAGGAACACTCACCACGTGGCTGAGGGTCATGACTCGGAGCAAGGTCTCACAACAGGTCTTCACCACAGCTGCAGGGAAGCAGGGCAACACATTCCGCAGCAGGGCAAGGACATGCAGGGTGGTGGTGGCCTCCTTGGCCCCTGTGGGAGTAGAACAATGTCTGAGCAGCTGGCAGCCCATAGAAAAGCCCTAACCAAGGAACAACCCTTGTGACAGCACTGAGGCTGACCCATGGAGCCAGGGTGAACAAGCTCCTGACTTCTGGGAGCAAAGCAACAGAATGGCTAAGGACCCTCTGAGACACCTTAGGCATCCCAGAAGTGTCTCATACCCTCCCCAGAAATCTGGGATGCTGCACCCTCCCCTCTTCCTTTCAAGTCATTATTCTCCCACAGCGGCAGAGTCCCCCACACTCAGCTGCAGACCCCATGCTCCAGTATCCCACACCTCCAGCTTTTTCAATCTCCTGTACACAAAACTTGGCGGTGGAAGGTGCTGCAGGGTGATGCTCAGGGGCTGCATCTCCAAACATGAACTCGGTGCCCTTCAGAACAGAGCACACACCATACTGTGCTGCTTTCCGCACCTGGGGAAGAAGAACTCAGGTGAGCAGAGGCTGTGGTCCTGCGGGACACAGCCAGCCCCAGAAACAGGACCCAAAAGCAGTCCTGCCAGGGGTACTAGGGTCTCACCTTGGGCTTGGTATGAACACAGAAGCTCAGCAAGCCATGATAGACCTGGAGGGTGACAGGGTAGCTCCAGGCTGCCAAGTCCTGCTTCCGCAGCAGCGTGGCCAGGCAAGAGAGAACCTATGGCAAGGGAGCAGCAGGGACATTAGCATCACCTCACAGAAGTAACCCCACCTCACTGCAAGGGCCTCAAGCTGAGCACCCAGCACACACCACAGCAGCAGTCTTGACCCCACCTCTCAGCAGAACCCTGAGCAGAGCTGACATGGTCAGCTGCCTCTTGGCTACTCACCCATCGAAGAGCAGAGGTAGAGCTGCTGCAGGCCTGTGAGGACACAATATTCATGAAGGCTTTTGAGGCATCTGAAAACTTTTTAATAAGCACGGGGCTTGGGACCCTGCCAGGAGAAGGGATCATATCAGTCAGCGTGAGCAGCAGACAGCTGGTGGCGTTAGTACAAGGACTACATGTGCAGTGTGCTCCACTGGGGTCCTTTCCCCAGCCTGGGGAGGGAGGACAGCACCAGTCCCTCTTACATGATGGGAGCTGGTAGCTCTCCCCACTCCTCTGTCACCCACTCACCTCTTAAGAACAAGGTTAAGCAGGTAGGCAACAGCAGAGAGCGACTCCGGAGACTCCACTGCCTCCAGTGTTGTCATCTGGGAACAGAGTATGGGTAAGTGAGAGGGAGTGGGGGTTCACACCAGGCCAGCCCTTCCCTCAGGATTGGGGCAGAGAAACTGAGAGTAGCCCAACAGCATCTCTGCTGAAGACAGACACTCACTCAGGGCCTTGGCTACAAGCACAGCACCTCATCTACCAACCCTCCTGAGCCCAGCCAGCACCAGCTCCCCTCCTCCCCAAAATCACCACTCACCAGTGCAGCAAAGTACTCCGTCTCGCTCTCCTTGCCCCCCCGTGAGCGGATCACCTCCGTCACAGCCGCCAGCACGGCGCAGATCTGCGAGCAGCAAGCAAAGCAGGTCAGCAACCCTCGGCCCCACACCCAGGGGCCATCCCCACGGGACACCCCAATTCCTCAGCTCTGCTCCTGCCTGTACCTCTTTGTGAGCAGCGGAGTTGGACTCCCAGAAGCGCTGCACCTTGCTGAATGTGATGTTGGTGCAGTCGCTCAGGCCGCTCAGGAAGGTGCCCGAGGACTTCTCTGTGGCAGCCTCCACAGCATCCTCCTCCTCCACAGGGAGCTTAGTGCTGTCACTTGTCTGCTCCAGCCGCAGCGACCCTGACTGCAACTCATTATGCAGCTTCACTGCATCCACTGTCAAGTTGCTTTTCTCTGTGGAGGCAAGACACGCTCAGAACTGCGACACTGCATTGCTCTGCCATTCACGCCGAAATCCCCCAGGCTTCCCTCCCCTCCCAGCCAGACTGGCTTGGCTGGAACTTATCTCATGCATGTGGGACACAGGTGCTGCTTCCCTCCAATGAGAGAAAGCACAATTAAAACTGGAAAGCACTCCTCATTCCTATGAAAACAAACCAGGGCACAGTCTAGCAATCTTTTCTGACAGATGAGAGCATCACATCCACACAAATGTGTCCTGTTTTGCCAAGGCTTTAATGCTGAGGTACTTTTTCTACTCTGCCCTATTTATCTTCTTCCACCAGCAGTCCTGGCAACCAGATAGCCAAGACACACACTGCATGTCCCTCTGAGTCCCGGACACCAGCTTGCAACCAGCTGCAAGAGACCAACAGATGCTGCAAGACTCATTTTTCCATCTGCAGGAAAAGACCTCCTCAGATCTTCCCAGCAGCAGCCAGGGCTCTTGCGGTCCCTGGCAGACTCTAATGCTCTGAAGTTGGCCTTCCCCGTCATGCAGCAGCGTGCAGAATGGGAGTCTCTGTCACCTTCCTCACCGCATCAGACACCACAGCAGTACTTACACCTGTGGCCAGGGGCCTTTGGCAGCCAGGTGACTCCTGTTACAAGCCCACTGCGACGCAACGCTGCTGGCACAGAACACACCTCGGTAGCTGTGAGCAGGGCCTCTCACGGGCCCCAGCAGGCTGACAGGCACCGCACCACGCGGTGCCCCGTTCAGCTCCTAAGGCCTGGTGTCACGGTGAGTGGAACGAGGACACACTCCTTACACGGCGGTCTCGGTTCTCCTCCCCACTTTGCTGCCCTCGCCTCTCCAGGGGACTGCAGCGGCTCCGGGCCCTCCTGTCCCCATCCCAGCTCTCGAACTACGATAAGGCTCGCCCCGCAGCCCTCCCTCCCCCACGCCCCGACGGAAAGTGTCGGACACAGGCAGGGAGGTGTC